CCTATAATTGCATTGGCCTTTTCACTTGCCTATTGGAAAAGTACGTTTTAATGCTGGATTATGCATTTAAGCTGGAACTTTGGCACAAAAAGGATTGCTCAAAATGGGAAAGGAATCATTCCGTCCCATATCATCATTTCATATTTTACAGCATTTTTTTTTTGTTTTGTTTTTGTTTTATTGGCATTTTATACAACTTATTACTCTTGAGAAAAAAAGAAGAAAAAGGTCATAAAAAAGCAAGCTTAGACTTAGTTTTGAAGTGCTGTCCTAAAGTTGTAGTGATTAGTTTTTTAGTTTTTTAATATCTTAAAAATATATAAAATATATTTGATATTTATTTTACTTAATATTTTATATATTTTTAAAATATTAAAAAGACATAAAAACTAAAAGTTAAATTACAAATAAGCATTATTAAACAAAACTCTAGTGTAATGCGTTGATTTTCTTATTTTATGAATTTTGAATTAATTTCTTAATTAATCATATTTTTTAAAGTTAATTGATTTTTGAAAATCAAAATCTTAAAATTTCAATTTAAATCATTTCATAGCTCAAGCAAACTTACGTAGCCCAATAAAAAAGCATGTGCTGGCTGGAGAGTGCAGGAGGCGAGTGCCCCTAACACCGCTCAGAAATATACAATCCTGTGCTTTTTTTATTTCCAACAGGAGCTTCCTTGGGTGATGTCCCTGTACTTTAGCACCAAGTTGGACTTCTGTTCAGAATGCGTGGCCAAAAGGCTTTGATTTGTCGGTCCTTTCCCACTTAGGGAGCAGTTAGAAATTAAAGATGTGGAGCTCAACTAGTGGATGTTCACACGTAAGTAGCAAAAATTTTGTACTAAGAGTGGAGCGTGACGTAACCAGCACAATGGGTTAATTGGTTCACCATTTAAGCCTAAAAATTAGGACTAAAGTAGGATGAGACTTTTATCTTTATTTATTACTTGAAAAATATTCTCTCTTTTTTAAGTTTTTTTATGTTCAAAAAAGAAAAAAATGGAGAGTAATAAACAAGTAGAAAGAATTTTAAATTAAAAGTAGAAAGTGATAAATAAGTAGTTTATGCATATAAAAAGATTAATAAATTTAATAAATTAATTTTTTGAGTTGAAAATGATGTTTTCATATATTAAACTCTTCAAAAATTATTATCAATCCAATTATTCAATTCATACGATACTTTAATTTAAAATCATTTAGCATGAAGTTATCTATGATAAATAGTAATAATAATAATAATTGAAGTTACGAGTCTCTTTTCTTACCTTTTATATTTTCCACTTTAAAGGAGCAATGACAAAACAGATTGAAATTCCAAATGGAGCAGAGACTTTGAAAACTCTAATTTTGCCAGGGATGAAACGCCATGACTTCTGTAATTTTCTGTATGCATCCACTCTGATGATAATTCCAAGTTATTTAATTAGATCAATGGACTCAATTGACTGACTCATCAATTCTTTTGAAGATACAATTCTTCTAATATATACATAAAAAAAAAAAAAGCAGTTTAA